GGAGGGGAGGAAATGTGAGCCTGTGTGCACCTGGGTACCAAGCAGGGAGGGTGCTGATGTCCCTGCCAGGGGTGGGGAGCCCCCTACAAACCCCCTGCTCCCAATGGAGGGCTGGGTCTCCCTGCGGTGACAGGCCACGAGGGCAGCCAATCACCCGATCCACACTCGCCACCGGCTTCTGCACTGCTTCCCTCACACCTGGTCGCCTACTGTGCAAGGACAAGCCAGAAACTATCGGCCCTTGGATTTCAGCATTTCTGTCTCCGCGGACTGTTCTGTTCTCAAGTGCCTCATGTCAAATGTCTCCCAGGGACATTTCTGTGATCGTGGTGACGTCCCCATGGCCCGGTGGCCATCAGTGATGTGGCTTGGCCAGGGGCAGCTGGGTGGCCAGGGACGAGCTGGAACTCTAGAGCCAGCGCATGGGACGGTGGTGCTGCCGAGTCGCTCTCCTCCATGCTGAGGCGCACACCAGGTGTCCCCAGCAGGATGTGCTGTGGGGTGGTTGGCGCAGGCAGTGAAGCTGTCTTTGTCCTGGGTGAACACGTGTGAGTGGGATCATGGCTGTTTTCTTATTGCTGTTCTAGTGATTCTAAGATGTGAAGTATTTAGGAATGTTTAGAATTGATCAGCAAAAAACTAGCACTTACTATAAGTTAAATCATATGCATTATATTTTTAAAAAGGAAGCACAACTGGATAAAGTGGTATTTACATACAATGGAGCAGTACTCTGCCATAAAGCATAAATGAGTCCTGTGTACAAAAACGGGTGCACCCGGAGACCATAACCCTCAGTGAAATAAACCAGACACACGAGCTTCAGGGCTGCATGGTTTCTCTCACAGGAGAAACCCAAAGTATAAATAAGCTAAGGAGCAAAATAAAAGGCCGACACTAGGAAACAGGGAGCTAGATCTTTTTCAGAAGGGAACCAAGAGGTGGAAGGAGGGGAGGGGAAGGGAAAGTGATAGAGCGGGGTCCATATTACTGCAAACGTGGACGAACACAAATCAAAAAGCAGAAACTCCCATCTCCACATCTCACCACGCCAGGGCTTGACATGCACCCAGGGGACATACATGGCAGAGACCAACATTTGAGTCTCGCACCTCTCGCTGCAGTCATCTCTGTGACATCTCAGCCACGGCGGCCGGCTTCAGCACTGCCCGGCAGCAGAAACGATGGGGACGCAGGTTAGGACTTGTGAGTACCATGAATGCACCAAGTTCCAACACAGATCTCCGTCACTCTGCTTCCACCTGGCTCATCACGATAAGCGATAAGCAAAGGGAGACACGTTTGTGTGCGAGTTGCCATCGTGGGGCGGCCCCACATGAGCACGCACTCCTGCTTGCACCGTGTTCCTGGAAGGCCACCAGGCCCACACGTAGAGCACATCTCTACCGTGAGGCTGCAGGGAGGCAGGCCACAGCCCGTCACTCCCCAGGACGGTCTGACGCGGACTTTCCTCATCATCCTGCCACCTCGTGCTCACAGCACTTCATCACTGCGGCCTATTTCGGGCTCCCTGAAAGAGCCTGGCCAGTGCAGGGCTGGAGGCTTTGCTCCCTGAGTCACTTGGGTGTGGCCACCCCGCCCCTTACCTGCTCAGGGATCTGGTGGCACAGGCGGCCCGAGTACCTGGGTGGGGGCAGCTGTGGCAGGCTCCCCACCAACCAGAAGCCCAGCAAGGATGCCCCCACCCCAAGGCCTCCAGCATTCCCACCAGGGTCTCAGGCCCGAGGCAGGCTACTTCTCCCGGAGCTTCAGGTCAGTGCCCTCTGAATGCCCCATGCCCACACTTTTCTCTTCCCCGCGCCTTGGACCGATCAGTTTACTGTTGCCATTTCACAGGGTCCCCAGGTGAGCCCCCAGCAGGCAAGGGCTGGAGTGAGCTTTACACCTGGGCAGGTGCCAGCCCTGCAGACGCAGCTCCCCTTCCTGGTGCCCTGGGCAGACTCAGCCTGCGCACTCCAAGGCCCTGCTCATGCACTTCTTGGGCATCTGGGGCAACAAGACCCAGGGGCTGGTACTCAAGGTGACAGTAAGGGGCCAGCCAGACAGGTGGCCAGAGGCTCAGGGTCTATAGCCCCTGCCCCCTCAGAGCAGCCAAGCAGTGCTGTCTCCCCACCCACACATCCACAGGGGGATCTGCTCCAGCCTGACGGGGCACACTCTGGCCAGGGAGTCAGGTGGTGAGAAACTGGTGTTTATTGAGAAACAGGGTAGGGGAGCCTGGAAGAGCAGACTGACAGGGCCCATGGGCAGTGCAGGCCAGCAGCCTGGCAGGTGCACGGGCCCAGGCTCCCTACTGGGCAGGGTCGGCCAGAGGTACAGGCAGGTCCCGGTCTGTGCCAGCTGCAGGCCTGAGCTGGGTTGGGTAGGTGAGCGAGTGAATGAGCAGGGGCTCAGGCCTCAAGACTTGGGCCATCGAGAGGCACATACATGGGCTTGATGTGCGCCCAGCTGCGGGCCTGCTCGTCGGCCCAGGCAAGAAGCTCAGCCGCACGGTGCAGGAAGATGAGCAGCAGCGTGTGTACGTCGCCCTCAGCAGAGTGCGCCACACTCGGCTCAGCCCGGAAGTAGCGGTGGAACAGGCTGCCCAGGCTGTAGCTCTTGTGGCCCTGAGCCCGAGTGCCGTGGCTATGGGCACGGTCCAGGCCCCGCAGAGCCGGCAGTGTGTCCAGGCAGACAGTGTCCGGGGGCAGCTGGGCACCCAGGCGCTGCAGCTCCGTACACAAAAGAGGAAAGTCATAATCGAAGCCATTGTGGGCCACGAGGCAGATGGGGCCCTCCTGACGGCTCAGGAAGGCCTGCAGCATCCTCACCACTGCGCCATCGAAGCCTGCCTTCCGGCACTGTGCCAGGCCCTCGCTGCTCAGGCCAGTGATCTCGCTGGCCTTGGCAGTGAAGGGGCGCTGCGGGCTAATGCACAGTGTGAGCTTGTCCAGAACACGGGGGAGCGTGGGAGCCCCGGACTCATCTCGGTCCAGGTTCTCCAGGGAGGAGCGGTGCACAGCAAAGAGGGAGATCTCAGCGATCTCAGGGTCCGTGTTGGGGAGCCCAGTGGCTTCCAAGTCCAGGAAGACAAAGGTCTCTGCACGGGGCAGCTCAGACATGGCGATCTTCTCACAGGGGCGGCGAAGCCTGAAGCTGCCAGAGCCAGTAGGAGGAGGCTAAAGAGACATGGATGCGCTGGCCCCCACCCCAACCCACCCCATGCAGCCTTTGCCTCCAGCAGTAGCTTCATCGAGGGGCCTCTACAGCACTGGGACCAGGGACCAGGGCCTGTCACTGTCCCTTCTGTCCAGGATGGGGTCTCCTAGGGACCCACTGCCTCCTTTCTGTCCCTCAACCCCACTCCTGCCACACAGCAAGGAGCAAAATGCAGACCTGTTGTGCCCAGATCAGGTCCCGAAGCCCTTGCTTGGCACAAGCCCCAGCAGAATTCTGGGGAGGTAGGCAGCCCACCAGCGGCACTGTGGCTGGGACCTCTGCTCCTGGGTGGGCTACTATGGGAAGCCTGGCAACGGGCCGGCCTTCCTGGCAGAGAAGCACTGCCCCAGCTGGCCTCTGTCTGCCTCAGGGGCCTGGTGGCCGTTCTCACCAACCCCACCATGCCAGCTTACCTGGGCAGGGGCTGGCTGGCGTCCTGGGCTGCTGGCTGCTGGCTGCTGGCACCTGTCTCCGCATGGGCTGCTCCAGGCAGCCTTTAATCAGCAGCTGCAGCCCGCCCCCGGCGCGTGTTAGGCAACCAGGAGGCCTGAGGCCGCAGGACCTGCACAGCCGGCCTGTTCACCGACCCCTCGCCAAAGCACAGCCTCCAGACACACGCCCATGTTTACACATCGGAGCAGACTCCGCACGCACACAGCTACCACAAATGATGAACAATGCCCCGCTTCATGCGGAAGGAAAATGTCCTCACAAGGGCGAGGAAGATAGGTGGCAAGGGCTACAGCCTCCACCAGCACCACCTTCTACTGATAGAGGCCCCGCTGCAACTGCCAGGCCCGGCCAACCAGTCTCCATGCTGGGACATCACCCAAAGCAAAAGGGCCCACCGACTCGAGGCCCTGGCTTCCCCTTGGAAGTGAGAGAGGCACTGACAAGCCACAGCAGCCTATGAAGGGGAGTGGGTACTCTACAGACCCGGCCTGGCAGGGATGCTGCTCAGCGGTGGGCCCATCCTCATCCAGAAGGGGGATGGATGTGCTTCAGCATGTGATGGCCTGAGATGTCTAACAGGCACTTGGCAGAGGCTGTGGGTGAAGGCGAGAGAGAGCTGGCAGGTGGGGGACAAGATGACAGGTCAGCTGGGAGGCCTGGGAGCCCAGAAGCAAGGATGACACTCATGGGCCTTCCCTGCCTACCTGACTCCAGGTGAAGGGCACCATAAAGATGGAGGGTGGCTACAAGGCCAACCCCGGTCCAGAAGGTATGTGGCACCCCAAGGACCTCATTATGGAATACAAGGAAGCAGCCCTTGACAGCAGGGGCATGGGGTGGCCCTCATGGGCCTGTTACATAGTTAGCTCACCTGGACAGTGGCGACTGGGCCAGAGGGGCCCTGCTGGCCTTGAATGTCCACAAGGGACTTGGGGGAACAAAGAAGGCTGAGTCCCTGCTGCTCCTGCCTGTTCCCAGGCCCCACAGGAGGGAGGCGGCGGTGACAGGCGCCCTGCTCAGGAAGATACTGGCTCACCCAGGAAGCCCAGGGAGCAGCTTCCGGGACAACCAGTCAGGCCATGTCAAGGAATTCCCCAGCGGGTGCTGAACATCCGGGCAGGCAGGAGGAGACAGGGCTGAGAGGAGTGTGCCAGGGAGGGACACCTCAGGGTGCAGCAAGACCCAGGGCAGGTGAGGCACGCCAAGCTTCACAGGACAGCGGCAGGAAGAGGGGGAGCCACAGGCAGTAGGGACACAAAGGAGGCTGTGCAGCCCAGGCTTCAGGAGAGAAAGGGACAGAGTGACAGGGGCAAAAAAGCTAAAGCGTAAGCAAGAGGTGACTTACTGGGGGAGTCTGAGGTTTCCCATCCCTCCCACCC